TAAAGTGTGCCTTTAATTTGGAAATCAAGGTCCAAGGATTTGGAAGAAGAAGAATGAGGAACAGAACCCATACTGCTTGAGGTCCAGTGTGAAATATCCACAGTCAGTCATGATTTGAGGTGCAATGTCCGGTGCAGGTGTTGGTAAACTCTGCTTTCTTCAATCCAAGGTCACCACAACAGTCTACCAGAATGTTTTAGAGGACTTCATGATTCCGTCTGCTGAGGATCTGTATGGAGATGCAGATTTCATTTTCCAGCAGGACCTGGCCCCTGTCCATGCCGCCAGAAGCACCAAAACCTGGTTGTTGTTTTTTTTATTCAACCTGTATTTAGACAGGTAAATCCCATTGAGTCTCAAGGACTCATTTACAAGAGAGACCTGATAATGGTTTGATGTCCATGCCACAGTGCTTGACTGGCCAGCCAGTTCACTGGACCTAAACCTCATTGAGAATCTAAGAGGTATTCTCAAGAGGAAAATAAGGGGCACCAGACCCAACAACAAAGAGCAGCTGACGGCATCAAGGAAATCTGGGCTTCCAGAACTCCCAGTCAATGTCACAGACTGATTGCCTCAATGCCACGTCACATCGAGGCAGTGATTTAAGGCAAAGGTGTTCTCAACCAAGTATTGAAGACTGACATCGTTTTGAAAGTACCATATTTTGATTGATATGTTGTGATCCTCATTTCTTTCTTTTTTTCTACAAAAACTGAGAAGTGTGGCCTGATGTCTTCACAGGGTTCTAATCTTTTGAAATCCTGTTTTTGTGGGTTTCATGAGCTGGAAGCCCAAATTATGTAAAAATAAACAAATAAATACTTGAAATCATTTTAAATCGTGGGCCCTGAATCCATCATCTATTAAAGATTAACTTTTTGAATGTAGTTATGGAAGTTAAACAACTTTTCCATGATATTCACATTTTTTGGAAAGAGTCTGTACATACAGTACATATGTATGTACATACATACTCTGGTTTCCTCCCACAGACCAAAAACATGTATGTTAGGCTAATTTAGATGACTAAGTTGTTCCTAGGTGTGAGTGAGAATGGTTGTCTCATTTGTCTCTGTGTCTCTTTGATGGACAGGGGACGTGGCACAGTGACTGCTGGAGATGGACTCCAGCTCCCTACAAGAAACGAACAGCAGGTAAAGAAAATGGATATTTTTCTACAACTTTGACCATAACAAGCCCTTTAAGACCCTCTGAGAAACCATCTGATTTGATTTTTGTTAAAGACAAAATGAGGCTCAAATCAGTGCCTTCTTTAGATAATCATTGACTTTCTGTATCAAACAGTAACAGATGTTCGCATCCTTCCTGAGCCAAGGTGAAGGGGTGTGTTTGAACTTTCCTGCTGTGTAAGACAAACACCCCTGTAAACAATGTCCTCTCTTCTTTTACGGCTGTGGCAGAAGCTCTCTGTGAGGCACCGAGAACATGAGTGTCTGATTAGCCAAACACCCAAGATGTCTGCAGTAATTAGCTAAGACGACAAAGACTCCAGTGAAAAAGCTTTTCAGTGGTAGCCTGCTCAGCTGTCAGCAAAAACCGATGACCTCCCAACTCTCCTACTTTTATAGCACAGCTTGGGTTAATTTATGGCGGTCGTTGAAGATTAAACTGCTGAAAAATCCACCCACGTCTTGGATTTTCTCTGACAAGAGGATCCAGAGCGAAGAGGGAGGGTGATTCACAGTTACCTCCACAGAGATTTACGATCCATAGCTATCGTAACTTTGAAACAACACCGAGATGTTATACAACGGTGGTGAAAATGCGTGCTTTTATCTCTTTCTGCTGTAAATGAGTTCTGCTTTGATTTACTCAGATGGGAGGAGCGGGGACGACAAATTGTGAACTATGCTCCATGTCCATCATGACTGCGTGATAAGTATTTATGATTAAAAGATGAGCTTTTTTTTATCACGTTGGTGCTGTAAATGACAGAGGGGAAGTGTCCCAACAGTTCAATTCCATAAAGTCACCTGTGACAAGCATGAACACTGTATATGAATGAATAGGTTTTTTTTAATGATTAAAAGGTGAGCGTTTCTTCTACTTCTGTGATTTGTTTTGACTTTATGTGCATTAAATAGACAAACAGGAATGCAGATCACTTTTGGCCCGGAGTTTTAAATTAATATATTTTTATGTTTTGGCGTTTGAAAATAACATGATACTCAACGTAGCAAGATTTTATGTGACCCGTCAGTCCTCAGAATGTGTTAGAGATTACTCTCAGCTACTACCACATCAAATATAAGCTCAATATCAGTAAAACCAACTGAGTTATAGACAATTATGTGTTGGCAAAGGTTGACTAGATGTGGCAGCCATCTTGAATCACGCTGGCTCCAAAAGGTAATTGGTTGTAGAAGTACAATGATTATTTTCTGTAAGTGTCAATAAAGTGGTTAAGCTCTCACAGTGTGTGTTAAAGGATGACTCTCAGCTACTACTCTACCAAACTTTAGCTAATTATTTATAAAACTGTCAGAGTTGAAGCTACTTTTCGTGTTTAAGGTTGAATAGTTGTGGTAGACATTTTGCCATGAGCTGACTTCAACATTTAATCAGCTGCAGATGAGCATTCAGTGATTGTTTACATTGAATACATCACATTTAAACTTGTCCAGAGATTCACACGATATTCAGCACACACATATCTGTCTTGCTATCTTTGTGGGGACTTTGCATTGACTTCCATTCATTTCTATAGCCTAACCCTGACCCTTACCCTAAACCTAACCAATACCTAATCCTAACCCATCCACAATTCACACCTTAGTCCTAAACCTAACCCCTAATCCATCAACGAGACTTGAACCTTATGTGGACTGAGCTTTGGTCCCCACAAGGAGCAGTTGGTCCTCACAATGTAGGATGTTTTGGAAAGCTGGTCCCCACAATGTAACATTATACTGGAAACCCTGCACACACACACACCCCACGCACACACACACAGGTTTGTCTTTTTGTGTTGACTTCCATTCATTTTTCATTTATTTCTATAGCCTAACCCTAACCTCAACCATTACCATTATATACCGCATTTTCCACCGTAGCCGTCGCTCCACCCTATAAGTCGCATCAGTTCAAATGTGTCTAAAAACGTGGAAAAATCCATAAATATGTCGCTTCACCGTATACATCGCATCTATCATGCATCGCCGTTGACGCGTTGCGTTTGTTTAATCATCACTGCTGACAACCCGGAAATGTGGGCCGGTGTTGTGCCAAAAATCAGTGGGTTGCCAAATGTCGGCCGCAGGAGCGTGCACAGGAGGACTTTAACAAGAATTTAACAAGATTAACACTTAAAAACAATTATTTGTTTGCTCAAAATTATAGTAAAGGTGTGTCTCAGTCTAACTTTTGCTTAATAAATGCACTTTTATGGTCAATTCAGCCGCATTTCAAAAGCCAATACACGGAAGTAAACACATGCACGCGATGAGTCACTGTTAAATTTAACAAGATAGACACCTGAAAACAATTTTTTGTTTGCTCAAAATTATAAGGTGCGTCTCAGTTGAACTATTCCTTACAAAAAGCACTTTAATGGTCAAATCAGCTGAATGTCAAAAATAGCATTGTTGCCTCGGTGCTCCAGGAGCGCGCAGAGGGAGGAAAAGAAGAAAGGAGGAAAGCTGCTCGTTTCTTCGAAATCTAACAAGAAAAGCACCTAAAAACAATTATTTGTTTGCTCGAAATTACAGCAAAGGTGCGTAAATTAAATGTAAATTGTGCAAAAAAAAACGCGACTTATAGGCGGAAAAATATGATACCTAACCCAACCTCAGTTCACACCTTAGTCCTAAACCTAACCTCTAACCCATCAACGGCACTTCTTATGAGGCCTGGCTGTGCTTTGGGTCCTTAAGGAGCAGTTGGTCCTCACAATGTAATGTGTGTTGGGGAAAATGGCTCTTACAAGGTATCACACACACACACACACACACACATATGTATGTAT